CCTTCTTCGCACTTCGGGCGTCGGTGTGTGCGTATCTGTGGTGTCTACTTCCCCCGGTATGTACAAGGCAGACGGCGCGCTCTGGCAGACGGCGCGAACGAGAGGGTCGCGAGAGCAGCCATCGGCGGCGAAAGGCAGCGTCGTGGCCAACGCCAAACGGAGCGGCATGGCCAGAGCAGCGGCCGCCCAGGCGGTCGCTGCTCCGCCCCGTCCGAATCCGTCCGCCCGCGCGTGCTGCTGCCGCCGCCGCCGCTCCACCCGGTGCCCGTGTGTCGTGAGAGTTGCTTTGTGTATGTGTATGTCGTATGTGTGTGGACTTATGTCACACTTGAGCCTCTATCTATGATAGTAGACCGGTACTCGGGTTTGGATGGTAGCGGGGGGCCCCACCGGAGGCTGGTTACTGATTTAAATTTATTTATTAGGCCAGTTGCGGGCGACGGCTTCCACTCCACTCTCACACGAAAAGAAATTTCTTTTTGAGGTTTGCGGCTCTGCTGTTAAAAATATCAAAGGGCTAACACTTTCCACACACACCGCGCGCTCTCTCTTACGGCTCTATGACTATGTGTATATCTCTGTCTCCTCTGACAGCCCTGCTGGCTCACCAGACTCGCTCACACTGACAGCGGTTCCATGGCGGAGACCAGCCGCCGGTGTGTGGCCCTTCCCATCACGCCTCAAACACGAGCCACCGCACCTCCGCCAGCCCGCCCTCGGCATCCCAGTGCGCCTCGACAGTGTACAGCCGCCTGCCGCCGCCTGCCTCGCCCTCGCCGCTGTCGGCCGTCGAGTGCTGCGGAGGCCACCACGCGGCGGCGCTGGAGAAGGGCTGGTTGGCGACGCGCCGCGCGGGCGCCACCACCGCGACTGTCCCGCCGGCGCACAGCAGCACCGCGTCCGCCGCCGCCGCCGACCCAACCCTCGTGCTATGCCACGCGGCGCCGGCCAGCGAGCGCTGCTCGAGCGAGGCGCTGACTGCGAAGCCGGAGCCGGGCGCGCGCGTCGGCGCGGCCGCCCGCTCGAGCGCGCGTTCCAGCTCCGCGCCGCAGACCGCCGCAGCCTCGCAGCTCTCGGACCAGCCGTCGGCGGCGGCGGCCGAAGGCCACGGCCCACGAGCGTCCTCGCGGACGAGGGCGAGCTGCTGCAGCGTTCCGTCGGCGGAGTGGACGACGCCGGCGCTCATCCTCAGGTGGTCGCCGTGGTGGAGGAAGAGCTCGGCGGCGCAGGGAGTGCCCGCCGGGCTCCGCCTCATGCACCACGCGCTCGGCCCTCCGGGCAGCAGCAGCGTCGTCATCTCGGGCGAGGCCGGGTGGAGCATCCCGTGCGGCGTGCTGCAGGCTTCCTCGGTGAGGTGCCACGGGCCGCTCTGCGGACCCTCCGCAACCGTGCCGCGCTCGTCGCGGTAGTGGTACACGACCTGCATCGAGCAGCCTTTTCCCGTCGGCTCAAAGGCCCGCTCGGCATCAAAGACGGAGCGCAGCTCGCCGCTCGGGCTCCAGCGACACCAGAGCGCGTGCCATCGACGCGCCAGCTTGAGGTAGACGAAGCGGCGCCAGTGCGCCGCGGCGAGGTCCTCGACTGGCATGTACATGCACTGCTGTGGCCGGGCGTCGTTACACACGATATTCATCTGGCATTTACTTGATATCCCGGCGCGTCCCGATAAACCGAAAGGATTGTTGGATCGGCTGGTTTATCAAGTAAATGTGAGATATACGACGCATGCCGACTGGAGGCGCATGCCGACTGGAGGCGCGGCGGGAGCGACGGGAGGGGGGGGATGGAGTCGGAGGATGATGGGGATGGTCCTCTCGGCGAGCACCACGGTGCTCGCGGATTCGACCATCCGCCTGACTTGAGCACTTGAGCACTTGATACTCGAGTAGGGTCGATTCCGCATGGTACGGGACCCCTCCGATCGTCTCGCCCTCCCTCGCTGGTGTGTTCATTGGGGGGGGTCATAACAAACACGGCACAGGATCGAGGTGCACGCTGCCGAGGCAGTGTCGTCCCCCCTCTCCCCGACGGCGATGGCGGTGTGACCGATCGAGCTACAAGAGGAGCTTGTTCAGCAGGATCAGGGATAGTCTCGTCCGCCTGACTACCATTCCGACGACGCCTTCTGTGAGGAGGACGGCATCTGTGAGGGCGACGGCTTCTATTAGAAGCCGTCGCCTTTGCAGTGCCAGTCCCTCGAGGCCAGTCCCGTACCCGACAAAAAAGATTTTACAACAAACTCCCTCGCACGACACTGGGCACGGGACTGGTGGCGCGCACTGGCAAAGCCCAGTGACGATAAAAAGAATTTTCGGACACCTCAGTGCAGCGGAGGTGGTCTGTACTGCTACGCATATGTAGTCGCCCAGAATGCACAGATCGGCCATGTTATGTAAATACGCGCCCGCGATCCATAGTGCGTCGGCCAGACGTCGCGTATTTCGGTGTCGTGCCCGAGCCAAGTGGCGCCTGAATGAGCTACAAATGTCTTGCGTATTACGATTCTGTCTTCTGCATCCACCTTCGGCCGATCGGGGTGTGCCTCTCCAGGCGCGCTACGCCCCACGTACTACGCACACGCATTCCGGATTCGAGTGAGAAGTGGCGGTGCGGAAAGCGGCCTGGCGAGGCGACGAGGCGGCGCTGCTGGCGTGGCTCGAAAGCGGCGGGCGGGTCAATGCGACTTGCGGGGCGGGTGATGTGGGCGGCATCACGCTGATGATGCTCGCCGCCCAGGAGGGCCACGAGGAGTGGTCGAGCTGTTGCTCCAGCGCGGCGCGGATGCCAACCTGCAGGACAGCAATGGCGTCACCGCGCTGATGGACGCCGCCAACAGCGGCCACGAGCGGGTGGTCGAGCTGCTGCTGCAGCGCGGCGCGGAGATCAACCTGCTGAACAGTAAAGGCGGCACCGCACTCGCTGCTGGTCGACGTTTGTGGCGGCGTGATCGACACAAGGCGGGGGATGTAGAACCCGGCGCGGGGGGAGCCAGCGGTAAAATTGCTGGAGGAGACGAAGGTGGCAAAGGCCCACGGCGCGCCGGTGAGAGAGACAAGGTCGATCTGCGAGGCGTTGTTGGTGGCTTCAGCAGGTACGAGCACGAGTCGGGTCCCAGTTGACGCATCGTGGAAGAGAGGCGTGCTGGAAGTGAAGCCGTGGACGATCTCAGAGCCAGATGCCACAGGCGAGGGTGTCGTCGTCATCGAGGAGCGAGACGATGGACAGGTGCGTGGAGTCGCCCACGTAGTCGGGGAGAGCGTGGGCGGCTCGAAGATCGGATTGCCGGCCGTGCGACGGTGCGTCAGCGGCACGTTGGAGCCGATGCTGCTGTCGGCGATCCGAGAAGCGTAGGGCGTGCCAGCGGCCGATGCAGAGCACGTCGAGAGGGACAGAGGGTCGACTCACTCTCGTAGAAGCGGAGAGCGAGTCGAAGGCGAGGTTTGCGAGATCAACATTCACCTCGTAGGACACGGTGTGAGGTCCGGAGGTGCGTAAGACTCGGCACTTGCGGGCTCAGTGAGCACAAATTCCGCGTGAGGGGAAGCCATGAACGCTGCCATCGGCAAAGAGGACGCGCGCGTGAGGCAATGGAGCGCGGCGAACGCCAGCATCGAGGGGAACGAGAGCGTGATGGAGCGAAACGACATAAAATCGAGCAGAAACACAAGACTAGTCCAGACAGGACGGTTGCTTCCCCCAGGATTAGTCTTCTCTGCCTGCGGGAACACCCTCGGGCGGCCGGGTGGGGCTGCGGCTGGAGCTAGCATGGCTCGATAGAGCCGAGACCCCGTGTTGAGGCGGCGCTCCTGTGGGCGGCTGTAGAGTCGGGAGATATTCGGCAGACATGTCTCAGACATATCTCCCGATCTCATCCCAGTGATGGACGTCCGTACGTCCCTTCTTAGTGATTGTGTTTCGGACGGCCCTTCGTTGTGTTCTCCCCCGTCCGCCAGCGAGACTGGCTCAGTCGCTGGCGGCCGCAGTTCTCTGTGAGGCTGCGCTGCGCAAGCACGGGCGGGAGGGGCTTCTCCTGCGGAGTCGTGCGTGCGCAGGGCTCCTCTTTGCTTTCTTCTACTCCCTACTATCATCTCGTTCCCGTCCTGCCAGAGAATAGGACCAACAAGACATGTCTTGGACGACGGGCACTTCGCACTTGAGCGCTGTTACCGCGTGCCGGGAGCTGTCGTCGACCCCTGCGCGATCAGCTTCACTGGTGGCGGAGACGCCACGAGGGCGGTGGTCGGCGCAGTCGAGTCGCCGGCACTTGCGATTACAGCCGTCCGCCAGAGGGCGGCGGCGAGAGCGGCCACGACGAGGGCGAGCAGCATGACGGGGGCGCTCTGGGAGGCTGGTTCGGGCAGCGGGGCTGTCGCCCGATGAGGCACGCTCATGCCCGCCACCGCCTGGCAGGAGTTGAGGAGCACCGCGAGGCGCACGCACTTGGCTATGCGAGGCGTAGGGTCGCCAGCCGCCCCTGGCGAGTGCGCCGTGCGGTGGCTGGCGCTCGTACCACCCACATTGCTTGGGCACTCGGGCCCAGCTTCGCGATCGGCTGGCCGCGCGCGCCGGAGGTCGGCGAGAGAGGGTCCGCGCCGAAACGGCAGGCTCGGCTGGTGCGGTGACCGGCGCACGGCGGCGCACGACAGCCATTCGTCGGCGAAGGCGAGGCCCGTCGCGGTGCGCGAGTGCGGGAAGGCCAGCAGGCAGTTTCCTTCCTCGACGCGGAGGACGCGCGCCGTCCAACCGGTGCCGCCGTTTTCTTCGCAGGGGTTCCAGCCGACGTGGCTGCAGGACCCCCCCGGCGGCGGCGAGCAGTAGCATCCGAGGCGCGAGCGGGCGAACGAGAAGCCGTTGTTGAAGGCGACCGCCGCCGTCGTCCTGCCGCCCTCGTAGTGCTTGGACGCCATCAAGTCGGGCACCTTGTCGGCGGCGAGCTCGAGCATGTCGTCATCGCGGTGGGTGTTCCCGCGGCATGGACGCCGACGCGGAGAGGCGGTTCGAGCGGTGTCGGGGTGGCTCACGAGTCACTCACCCAGTCGGACGCGAGGACCGCCGGCTCGGAATAGTTTTCCGGTGCCCCGGTCGGCTTGCAGGCGTGAGAGTCGGAGGAGTTTTTCCGTGCCGTGAACAGAGCACCCCGAAAATCGGACCGGAAAACTATACCAGCGCCGCGAAGCGCCGCCTCCCTCAACGCCCGACACTCGGTCGAGGCTGGCTCGAACTGCTCGAGGCCAGCTGCCTGACTTGTAAGTATTGACAGCGAGTGTGTCGCCAGTCGCTCCCGACCACACGCGTTGAGGGGCGCGTGGACATGTTAGCCCTCGGCAGCTGCGATGCGCACACACCTGTCGACCGACCTCATCACAAAGATCAAAGTGCGCGTGGTCGAGGTGAAATGGCTGCGCGAGGTGGAGGGCGTGGTCCGTCAAGGAAGGTTCCACGCGTGGGTCGCGCGTGGTGACTTCCAGGACCCATTGCACCTCTTCTTGCTGCGCGGGACGCCGCTGCGCGACCTGTCGGGGTTGAGAGGCAGCGACCTGCGAGACGCCTCGCGGGCGAATGGCGTCTTCATCGCCGAGGAGCGCCTGCGACTCCGCGGGCTGCTGCAGGCCTACGCCGAGACAGGCGCTAACCCTTTCGGGGACGCTGGCGCCTTCCTCCACGACTTTACTGACGGTGGTGAGGCGTCCAGGAGAGGGGACGGGGAGGCGCGCGAGGCGGCGATCCTGCAGCTCCTCCTAGACGCGGGGAGTGCGGAGAACCCAATCGGGGGACCGGACGGACTCTAGTAGCTGCTAGGTGTGTGCAGCAGGAGCCAAAACAGCGACGGGTGTCTGTCGTGGGTGCGTGCTTGGGTGGTTGTGTGCTCTCTGCCGCTTTCGATTGTCAGACCACGACACGTCCCGATGTAGAAACATCATGGGAGCACCTCAGATGCGTCTGAAGACCGCAGGGTGGCACCAAATCGGGCGCCAAAGGTCGGCAGAAGGCGCCGAGGGGCCAAAAAGGCCCCGTTGGGCTCGTTCCGAGGCTTGGACGGACTCTCGCGGCTGACTCGTGCGCGATATCGGCATGTGGTGATACACACGCATCGGGACGATGCCAGCGGCACCCGTTTTACGAGCCTCAAAGCCGCGAGCCGCCCTGCAGGCGCCGTTTTGGGGCTCCAGAGAGGTCCTGCAGAGGGCCCCGGGGGCGCTTTCGAGGCCCCAGCTACCAACACACGCCTTTAGAATGGTCCCGAGCGGCTCCCACGACCCCCCCAGCACCCGAGCTGCACGACACGACCGCTTGTTTGAACATTAGCGACACAAGTAATTAATCATGCGGGTTGTGTCATCGTGATTTGGGAAAACGGAACACGCATATGACGGACGATTCTGATGCTGGCCCGCTGCCGCCTTTTGGCGTATAGGCCGTGTGTGGGATATCGCGGGGCACTCGAGGCGGGGCATCTTTTTGGTTGTGGGGGGTACCGTCGCAACAGCTGTTACCAAAGAAAGAGGAACCCCCCCGAAACAATCCAATCACTGCGAGTCCGAGCCCGCTCTCTGACACCGCGCCTGCTGCGCTTATCAATCTCGACGTTCCCCATCCCCCCAAGCCGACGGGACGGAGACCGCGGCGAGATGTCAATAGAACCCGTCGGGGCCGCGCTGGCCGCGCTGGCCGCGGCGCTGCCGCGGAAGCACCGTCGCGGTTCTGAGGCGCGCAGCCGCCCCGCGGCGTGTGCCGCCCCTGCCGCCCCTCCCCGCGCCCCTCTACTCCTCCTTCTCCATGCGCCGATGGAAGGCCGCGCGCTCGCGCACCCTTCCGACGAGCTTGAGCGCCTCGTCGACGATGATGACGGGGAAGGAGAAGGCGAGCACGAGGAGCCAGTCGTTGAGCGTGAGCGGCACGATCGAAAAGATGGTCGCGAGCACGGGCACGTACATGATCACGAAGTGGAGGCCAAGCGAGCGTAGTTTCTTTTTGAGGTCCTCTTCGTTTTGAGATTCCTTTTTGGAGACCTTTCGTCATGCTTCATGCTTTCTATCTATCCATCATGACGTCATGCACATGCTTCATGCTTTCTATGATCTATCTATCTATCATGACACAGCTGCAATGGCGCGGCCCCCAAGTGCGGTCACGCGCCGGACTGCCGCTTTCGCTTGCGGCCCTTGGCCTCGGCGGCCCGCCGCGATGCGACGCGCTCCGCGGCGTAGGTGGCCGCGAGCTCCGGCTCCCACATCTCCGTGATCTGGTTGTAGCCGTGCTCCCAGATGCCCAGCACCTCCGACGGCCGTAGCTGGCGCAGGTGGTCAACGTCGTTGGGGTCAAGGCCGATAACGAAGAGGCGAGCACCAAGGCGAACTCGCGAGACGAGCACGTGCAAGTCGACCAGCTTGAGCTTCGGGTAGACGCCGGCGCCGCGCTTGCCGAGGCTCGCGATGAAGTAATCGAGCGTCTTGCCCTGCACCTGCAGCGCGCGGAAGATTGGCTTGGTTGGTTGCTAATGTGGGCGGCGCGACGGCTTGGGCACCCACTCACCTTGAAGTCTGTCACGGCGAACGCCAGATCGATCTGGTGCTTGTTGATGCGCAGCTCTTTGGGCACGCCCACCCGCGCCGTACGTTGCCGACGCCTTGCCAACCAGCACTGGCACGACGAGCTCCTCATCGAAGAGCGACGCGTCACGCGCCAGCAGCGTCTGTCGCGCCTCGTCGGACACGTCGGGGATCGCGTTGACGGAGAGCGGCGGCTCGATCTGCACCTCCCAGATGCCGTACTGGTCGTTCCACACCGTGTTGGCGAGGCAGTTGTCGAGTGTGGTGTCTCCAGCGAGCGTGAGCGAGTGCAGCTCGGCGTCGAAGCCGTTGACGAGACCGCGCCCCGTCTCGATGTTGGAGGTGATGCTCGCGGGCGCGCCTTCCACAAAGTGGAAGCACAGGCCGGCGCTCCTCGAGGTAGGCCCGCTCGGTCTCCGTCCCAGTGGATGTAGCTGGCGGCGACGCCCACGAGCGGCTGCTTCCACCAGAAGAGTGGCCGGCGATGGTGACGCGCGAAGAGGCGAGCCTGGAGCAGGTTGAAGGCGTGGCGCTCGCGCTGCGACAGCACGCCAATCTTGGCGAAGCGCAGCGCCGTCCGCGCTCGCTCGGCCACAGCCTCGAGCTCAGCCGGAGATAGTAGCGGGTGCCGCGCCGACGCCGCAGCGGCGGCACGCTCGCCCTCGCGCTGGATCGCGTCGGCGGTGAGCTGCTGCGAGATCAGCAAGTCGATGAAGTCCTCCGTCACGGGTTGCGGGCAGGTGGTATCGCGCTGGCACTCCAGATTCTTGGCGAGGCGCTTGTCATCGGCGGCGCGCATCGGCTCGGTCAGGAGCATCCGCTGGAACTCGGCGAGGAGCTTTGTGCCCTTGCGATCCGCGCCGACGTCACTCTTCTTGCCGGTGATGCCGAGCGCCTCAAGGTCGGCATCGGGCACAGCCTCGAGCACGAGCGAGGTGTGCAGCGCGTAGCCGCTCACCGGCTGCAGCTGGTGGAAGTCTGTGCATACACGCCAGTAAACGTAAGCAAACATGTGGGAGACGGGCTGTGCGCAAGTGGCAAGGCACGCAGGGGCAGGCACGCACCGCCGGCGAGCACGACAACCAGGCCACCAAAGGGCAGTTTGCAGCCGAGCAGCTGCTGCAGCCGCTGGTCGAGGTGGTGCAGGTGCGGCGTGCCAAGGAACGAGGCTTCGTCCAGCACGATCATGATGAGGCGGTGCGCGTCGCCCACGATTGCGTTGAACGTCCGCTGCGCTCGGTCAGAAGCCGCCGGCAGATCCTCGAGCGTCGAGCCCGCGTCGCCAGGGATGCCGGTGAGCTTGCAGTACGTGGCAGCGGGCAGCGGCAGCGCCGTCACCGCGACGCCGGTGTACGCCGAGAAGATGGCGCAGCCCAGGTCCTCCTCGTCCATTAGCTGCAGCAGCGCGCGTAGGAGCAAGCTCTTGCCGGTGCCTGGCGCGCCCACGAGCAGGTAGTGCATCCGGTGCACAAGCGCCACCGCCTCTGAGTACTCCTTGCGTGTGCGGCTCGCATCTCCATCACGCTGAGCGGCGCCCATCCGACGGAGGACGGGCAGGAGCCTGCGGCCGGCGGCGCGCTGCCGCTGATTCAGCGGCGGGAGTGGAACGTCCTCGCCGCGCTTGAAGCGCTCACCGAACTCGTCGCGCCACCGCCTGCTGAGTGTCGGCGGCAGAGAGCGTGCCGTTGGCCTGCAGCGGCCACGAGCGGATGTGCCTCGTTCCGTCGTCTCGCGTGCTCTCCTGGTAGCGCAGGAGCGGGCAGATGGCGCGGAAGATGCGCATCAAGTTGAGCCCGTTGCCGTTGAACTCGGAGAGCGGCTCGTCCGAACGCGCGGCACGCCGCACGTGGACATCGCCGGCGCTCTCGTTCCTCGCGGCTGCGTCAGCTTGCGACGCCGCCGAGGCTGCGTCAGCTGCATCCGCATCAGCTGCGCCGTCTGCAGCTGCATCAGCTGCACCCTCGGCGGCGTCGGCGGATGGGTCGAGATGATCGGAGCCGCCACGCGACGTCAGCCCTGCGGTGAAGGCGTTGAGACGGGAGAGCGCCGAGTCAGGCAGCGTGTCGGAGGATGACAGCAGCACGACGCGAGAGAAGGCGTCCGCTTCCTCCGGGTTGGCCACCTGCGCCACGTCATCGGCACTTGCCTGGGCGGTGGCCTCGACGGCTTGCGCAAGCCCGGTGGTTGTGTGGCGCGCATCGGCGACCAGTCCCGCACCAATGTCACCGAGCTCGCTCCGCACCGCGTCGAATGAAGGCGCGTCCGTCACCTTGGGGTTGCCCATCGCCCTGTCGATGGCAGCGTACAGCGCCAAGTAATTGTGGCACCGATGCGGGCAAACCTGGATGTCGTTGCGCTTGAGCAGCCACTGGGCGAGCTTGTCGTGCTTATCGTCCGCGCCCACGAACAGCGCGCGGCAGTCGGCGCCCCGCAGCCACGCCGCCTCGCGGAGCGTGGCCGCCGCTTCCTTTGGCCCGTCGTGCGGGAAGTAGATTGTATCTCCCTTGATCGAGGCGTCGCGCAAGATCTCGAGCGATCCGAGCTTGATCGACACCTGAAGCGATGCACACCATGACACTCGACTCACTACGACGCGTCGTGAAAGATCTCAATAGCATCTCAAAATCTCGGCGGCATCTCGGCGAGGGTGGCGGCGGCGAAGGCGGTGGTGGCGAAGGAGGCGGCGGCGACGGCGGCGGAGGCGAGGGCGGCGGCGGGCTCGGCGGAGGCGGGCTGGGTGGCTACGGCGAGGGCGGGGGCGGGCTGGGCGGCGCCGGCGAGGGCGGCGGCGGCGAGGGCGGAGGGGG